TTTGAGCACTAACTGATCACACAAATTATTTTGAGAGTCTTTGAATAAATTTGGCAAAAAAAATCATTCAAATAATTTAAAAACAAATTCATTTCTTAGTAGGACTTTGATTTTCATGTTTTTTATATTTAATCAATAATTTATATTGATCAAATACATTTTCTTAAGTTTATCTTAGAAGTTTTTTTCTTTAATACTGTGTAACTTTATTTTGTTGTATTAATTTAATATCTGTATCAGCCCTGATAATATTTTTTTTTAATTTATTTTACCGTTATTTTTCCAGGCAAGTCCCACTGAGATCACAGATCTCTTTTTCAAGGGAGACCTGCGCCTGAAGGCAACCTATTGTACATGTTTTTTGGGGGTAACTGGTTCAAATCTTTAACATTTTTAAAGTTTCTGTACTTCTATTATTATCGTTTTTAGGAAACACTCCAGGGTTCTTTAAATAGAACATTTTGTTCTGTCTCATGAGTTCAGAATGTTCAGACTGACAACATCGGGCATCTGAGTAGATCTTTAGAGTTATTATTATTTTAGTTCATCTTCAGCTCTAAAAGGAAATAATAATTTGCTTTAAATTTTATTTTATTTAAATAAAATGTATCGGTTTAGGGTTTGTGGTGTTTTTTTTTCTTTTTTTATACTTTTTCCAGTTCTGATTCTTTGAATTCTTGAGTCTGCTCATATTTGTTTTTTTATAATTTATGTTCTATACTGGTTTTATTAGTCTTTCTGCTTTCCACACACACCTGGTTCCAGTGTTTCTGTCTTGGTACAAACTGTTCCTGATTTTCATTGTTTCTTCTCATTTGTTTGTGGCTGTATTTGCTCCCAACTTTTTCATTTTCCATTTGTTGAGTAATGTCATCCTTTGCTCTTTTACTTTTAGCAATCTTGACTCATTTTAATTTTTTTTCTCCTTCAGCAGTACACTTTTAAAGTCTTTTATTTCTAAACTCAGCACTTTCTTTGTTGTTACATAATAAAAGACATTAAGTACTGAATGCTTTTTGAAGATTTTTTTTAAAAGTCACATCATCACATTTTTCAGGTGGTACAAAATCCTTGTCTTATACTGATATTTTACAGCATATACATATTTAATCACACACCTGGTGTTCTCCTCAGTACTTTTAATAAATTCTCTGATTTCTTTTCTGGTTTCTGATGCATTATAGAACTTGTGGTTTTAAAGGGATCACCGATTAGTTGTAACATTAGTCTTTATTTGATAAACATATATTTTAACTGTAAAATAAAGATTGTAAAATTACTGTAGGCTGTTTAGTTTTGTAAATTTTTAAAAATAGATTTTTACACAGACGGAACCATTTTATTTACACCCAAAGCATTCTGGGTAAATGATGACGTGGATAGGTCATCGGTGCGAGGCTGCTAGCGAGCTATATCCACCCTGAAGGTTAATCTTGGACAATACCTGGCAATCAGCTTTTAAATGAAACCAGAGAGCATTGACAAAGAGGAGAAGGTAGAAATGACTCAGCC